CATATCAGATTTTGGCAAAAATTCCAATATCGTGCATCCCTACAGCAAGGTGCAATTTATTCCCCATGACTGTAGATGGCAAAAACAATCTAGAAATAAGTAAAAATTGCATAGATTAAGTGTATTTACCCTTAAATTGAGCACGTAAATAAGATGATTTGCCAATGGAATAAGTATTTTCACTCTTAAATTAAGATAATTACATAAAATGCACTTGAAATAAGACAATGTCATTATTTTTTTCCTATTTTAACCGTAAGTTGTCCTCTTCCATTGGCAAAGTGTCTCCTTTACCTTCTGGATTAAAAAATGCACTTATTTTAAGAAAAATAATGACTTACTTACATTTACATTTTTTGTAGTGTATTTTCTATAACTAAACTGATAATTGCCCTTAGCTGTGTATAGAAATGATTAGGTATTAATAGCAATAATTACCGGCGGTCTCTTGAGGATTCAGATCACAAGATGTTGCTCTTCAAACAGTTCACTGCGTTCCAGCATTTCTAATGTGACTGTGCAAACGTAGCGCTGCTGGTGCCGTATGATATGAAATAATGAGGATGTACTAATTAATTTGCATAATTGTTGTTTAATTGCAGGAGCTGAGGGCGATAAGGCTGCAGCAGCCCCTGCTGGTGAGTGTCTAATGGCAGCAGGTTTAGAAAAGTCTAATTTCTTTACTTTATGGTCAGACTAACCTCTGCAGACACATTCTGATGCATTTTCTTACTTTTCTCACTTTCAGTCAAAAAGGGTAAGAGAAACCTACCAGACGACCCATCCTGTCCTGTAATCATCATCACCATCATCATCATCACCAAATGTAGTGTTTCTTTCCAATCATACAGAGCAGCCAGATGAGGAGGAGGGTAAGGCTGACAGATGAAACAAACACAGAAGCTCACAGCTTCTGTGGGTGATGGGACTGTGTGTGGAGGTGCATGATTCCCAGTGCGTCTCTGCTGGATGCATCAGACACACAGAGCAGATGTCGTTTGCTGTCTCTGTGACATTTTTTTTTTTTTTTTTTTAGCATGAGGGCTCATTCCTAGCATCATAATTCAACCTGGTAAAATCCAACAGTGTTTATTTATGACCAAAGCCTCTAACTATTTGACTTTTATCAGCACATCTATATGTCATGCGATGCTAATTATTTTCCGACATCTGTCCTTTAGTTTTTATTATAAAAGCTTCTAAAGAGCAAAGTTGTATATCATTTGGGTGTCAAAAACATCTGAGGACTGCAGATGATACAAAATGATGAGGTGGGAAATACAAGGGGAAATAAACTAACTTGATCTTATTTTTAGATCCTCATCAAAAATATCACATTAATCCATTTTGCTCTACTTATCTGCATTTGCTAGACCTCCACGACCTTCAAACTAGCTGAGGATTTATTTCCCAGATATCCTGGAATTCAGTGCTGTGAAAAAGGATTTCCTTCCTCACTCATTTTTTTTTGTTTTTACCCTTTAAAAATATCCTATTATCTATCAGCAAAACAAAACTATGTAAAACAATCAGATTCCGTGTGAAGATTAAAATGTACTCATTTTTTAAATAATGAATTTATTATAAATAACTTTTTAAAGTAAAGTTCCACTACTTGAGCTGCAGAATCACCTTTATGCAACATTGAATAACCCAGTAATACTTTAATTTGAGATATACTGAAAGACTTTCAGGTCAACATACACATACAGCACGCTGTGCATATCAACTCTCCCGTTGGGGTGTTCTTCTCAAAAACCCGGCAATGTGACTGATAAAACAGATGGATAGACAAATACGCAGGCAGGCAGACAGACAGATAGATAGAAAGTTAGGTAGAGTCATGTTTTGCTAGTCCAAGTCAAGTCTCAAGTCTATGATCTTAAGTTCAAGTTTAATACAACAGCAGTGAAATGCAATTTTTTTGTAATTATTATGGTCTGCTATGGCACTTTTGGTGTAAAACATAGAAAACTGTATTATAATATTTAAGGAATGATCATTATCTTAAACTGGTAAATGAAAAATGCAGGTGAAAAAGCTCAGACACAATTTTCCCAAATAAATTTAGCAAATTTTTAAAATTTCTTTTTACAGTATTTAAGTGACATTTCTTTTTACCACATTGTTTTCTTTTAGAAATGAGGGTTTTCATTTACCACAGTCTAAATCCTGCCCTTCTGGTGAAATAGAAACAGGTGTGCTCACTGTGGCCTCCATGTCTGTGATGTTTACATGTGCACACGTATGTGTCACTTAGCATAACATCAGCGCTACTTGTCTGTCTGATCGCCCCATGCTGTTTTTTCCTTTTTTTCGTCTTCTGTGCCTCAATGCAAAAAAAAAAAAAAAGCATTGAGGCACTCAGACAGACAAGTAAAACAAAAAAAAAAAGTAAAAATAACATATTGTTTACAAGTCTGAAACCACAAGTAAGACAACTCTGAACTCTGTTCTCTGAAGTATAGGTCAATTTTGAAGTAAATAGGTGAGTTAAGGTGTTCGCTCCCAAATGTGAGTCACCATTCCTGCACTTACCTGAACAGATATTTTGGTTCTCTAATCTAGAATTTAATCTAGAGAAGAGAATGTGGCATCAACTCACAAATAACTCTTTGATTTCTCAGTCTGCTGGTCCAAATTGGTCTGCTATAAGATAAAAGAGGGGAGTGAGAAAATTCTACTGCCATAGCCACATAAGGAGCAACAATAATATAGCACTCCACAGGTTAAGTTTATGCACTTAATCAAAAAAGCAAAAAAAAAAAAACAGAGTGGATTTTGGGTTGAGCTATACTTTAAATAGTTGTGGTAGTGAGCTCAGAAAATGTTAAAAGGAACACAATTTGTGTTATTTAATAAAAAAAAAAGTTATAAGTTATATATATAAATTCAGAACTCAAAAAATACACATTCTCCAAACTGTTCCAGGACCTCGCTTTAAGGACATTCAATTCAATTCAGTTCAATACAGTTTATTTCTAAAGCGCCAATTCACAACACATATCATCTCAGGGCACTTTACACTTCACCAGATCATACAGTCAAATTGATTCAAAGTTTTCTATAAAAGGAAAACCAGTTGACTGCATCGACTCATTGATTCGAATGTAATCCCTCCCACTAAGCATGTTTGCAGCGACAGTGGAGAGGAAAAACTCCCTTTTAACAGGAAGAAACCTCCAGTAGAACCAGATGCAGTGTGAGCGGCCATCTGCCAAGGCCGACTGGGGTTCAAGGAGACAGAAGCAGAGATACAAAAAGCAGCTGTAAAAGGCGGCCCCGCCCAGGAAACACACAGCCATCAGACGAGCTGTGAGCCAGCTCCCATGTCAGAGGATGCAGAGAGCACATCCAGCCAGTCAAAGTCAGAGAAACAGGACTACACTGGAAAAACAGGCCAAGTTCCAACATCTATAAACAAGGGTGTTGATGGCAGCAGCACAGCTGATATTTCTCTCCAGGATGGAGTCAAAGCCAAACAGGAACAGACCAGATGAAGCTACTATGAGAAAAAGCAGAGAGAGCATAAGGTTAGAGATTGAACTAAGATTCTGCAGAGTGGGAGAATAGAGATAGAATGAAGCAGAATGATAAAATGGGGGTCCCTATGTCCTCCAGAAGTCTAAGCCTATAGCAGCATAACTATAGAGATAGCTAAGGATAACCTGAGCGACTCTAACTATAAGCTTTATCAAAAAGGAAATTTTTAAGCCTACCCTTAAAAGTAGACAGGGTGTCTGCCTCATGGACTAAAACTGGTAGTTGGTTCCACAGGAGAGGAGCCTGATAACTAAAAAATCTGCCTCCCATTCTATTCATCAGTTTAAAATCCAGCGTTTCAGCCAGAAATGCTTCAGAGTGGCGCTTCTGTGCAACAGGATGACTAGAATGAGGTGTTAAACCCTTTTGAATAAATGAACTCATATTACAGGTTGGATCTCTGAAAATATTTCAATGGGAGAATATTTTACAGTGATTACATTTTTATCCTCAGGGGTAATTTAAACCTGTATCATAGCTCTTCTTTGTCAAATGCCTGGAAACGCTTGAATAGCTCAAATATTCCCACAAGCTTTGATGTTAAACATGTTTGCTTGTGCTTTGCAGAGTGAGCCAGATTCCCTCATCCTGTGATCAGTCGTCACTGAAATACTGTTTTTTCCAACATACTGCAGATCATGAGGTGATAGCCTTTGTAAAAAAAAAAAGGAGGAAGATTATAAATGATCATTCCTTACAATAGATAACCCAAGCTGCCTGAATAAAGAAATATTGATGTTTCCAATTAAAGTCACGGCTGTGGATGAGCTAAAAGTCCTAAGTTATCGAATGTGGGTAGATCGCCTCACAGCAGTTTTTATTAAACATAAAAAATATGTTTAATGTTTTTACATTATATCAAATTGATTCATAATGGCCTTTTTTTTCATTCAGGCAAATGTTTAAAGAGCATTTCTCGTCATGAGTAATAAATAAGTCCCAGGGGGAGCTTTTGCTGAATGTGCGGATTATGAGTGTTGAATTTCTTCTCATATTTAGCTCCTTTTAATGTTAGCTCACAGCACAAAGCAAAAGGAAGAAAGATGTTTCAGTGTCTCTGCAGCGAGTTATCATGATAAACTTTCTGCAGCTCTGTCAGGGTGATTAAACGGGTTTGCACGTGTGCAGTGATGAAGTGGAGCAGCCATTTAAAATAACACTACAGCTCATTTATACTGAGTCTCTCTCTTTGGGGGGCAGAAACTCAGTGAGTTACATTTATGTCCCGTAAGACTCTTTTGTAAGCGATGATCATGAGCTGCAAACAAGACATTAGACCTGAACAAGCATGTCTGGTAGACCTTTCCTGCACTGCCTACTGTAGGAGCTTCTTCTTGATAGAATAAAACCTTTTCCACCTATTTTCTCATTCTGTCTCCTTGCTTCTCGCTTGTACCAGAGTATGATGTGCTTGCTTGCACAGCATAGATCAAAAAAATTGACTCCAGCGTTTGTGATGTAATGTTGGTGTTGGCTGCACATTATATGAGCTCTCTGGTCGCTCCTTCACGGAGGTTCAGCTGCTGCTGGCAGAGTCTCAGGGTTTCGATGGATGGATGCTCCAATCAACTAGAGAATATGTGACTGTTAGGACAGATTTCTGGCAGTTGAAAGGGCTTTTCTACATTTGTAACTCACTCTTTCTTTATATAGTTTTGCGAGTATATAACATTGATTTACAGTTACAAGAAGTTATTAAAAAGTTTTTGTGCAATATTCATCTATGTGGCAAGGAGGTTAAAACAACAGTTTGTAATAATAACATGGATTTAATGAGTGAAATGTAATAAATTATACATTAAAAGTTGTTTATTATAATTTATGAACTGAGAATCTCAACCTTTATGTTTAGATTGCCTCAAAAATTGCTATTACAATTATATAAGTGCAGGTCTAACATCTATGGAGACAGGCATCTTTGCGTTACGGCAACTCAGAGCTGACAAACTATTGACTCTGGAAATTGCCATTACGCTCTAATGTGACTGCAGCAAGTTAGGCCTATATAACATGTATATCTGATAAAGACGAATAACATAGTATTCATAAAATTATCTATGTAAAAAAAATCATAGCTTGACAAGATGCTATTTTGCCCCATGACGACCTCCGCCTCGTTGGATGGGGAGAAGCAGTGGGGGGAGTGGTTCATTCATTCAGTCTGCAATCAGACCATTAGATGTCGCTGAAAAGTTGCACACTGTAGCTTAAAAAAATTAAAAATATATATTTATCAACTGATTTTCTGACCAAAATTGATAATTTTACTGCTACAAAAAAGAAAAAAGAAAAAAATCATATTGTCACTTCTCTCAGAAAATGAAAATGG